GGAATCTACATTTTAACCAGTGTCCAGGAGATTCAGAGGGAGGTGGTCTTCCCTTGTTGCTTGAGAAACCCTGAAGTACTTAACACATTTCAAGTTCTGATCAAATGTTTGACCTAAGTCGCTTAAACTCAGAATTACAGGAGATTGGAAGAAATACGTGATTTCTGGGGTGCCTGGGTGGCTCAGAGGGTTAAAAACCTCTGCCTTCGGCTCAGGTCATGATCTCAGGATCCTGGGATAGAGCCCTGCATCGGGCTCTCTGCTCCGCGGGGAGCCTGCTTCCCTTCCTCTCTCTCTCTGCCTGCCTCTCTGCCTACTTGTGATCTCTGTCTGTCAAATAAATAAAATAAAAAAAAAATACATGATTTCTAATTCTTTCAAGAAGACTTAGAAAGAATTCCTGGAAAGGTTTTCTGTGCAATAACAGCCCAATGATATGACATAATTTCTTTTCAAACAGGAGAAAGACACATCACACGATGATGTGAAACAATTCAAGAAGTGTGTGTGTGTGTGTGTGTGTGTCTGTAAAGATTCATCAACTGTACCCTTAAGCTTTGTGTACTTTACCATTTAGATGTTTACTGTATGACTAGCAGATCTCAATTTAAAGAAATTGTTTTATGGAAGTAGGAGGTAAAGATGGTAAAGGTGGAAATGGGTTTAAAGATGTCACTGTAGAGAAAAGGAGGGGGAAGGAGTTGGATACTGGCAAGAAAGAAAACAGGAAGAAGGGGAAAATTTAAACCTCTTGATGAAGGCACCAAGTAAATCCTTAGCAGCTGGTGTGGTAAAGAGAAGGCTGGAAATAGGAGTCTGCAGATGCGGGTGTAAATAGGCTGAAGAATTCAGGTACCACAAGCCAGATGCTTTGGGCACAAGAGGAAGGAATGAAGGAAGGAAAGAAGGGAAGAAAAAAACGAATGGAGGAAGGGAAGGAGAGAGCCAGGAGATGGAGGGAGCGGGAAGGAAAGAAGAAGAAAAACAAACAAACAAACAAACGGGGAAAAAGAGGGCCCTGGCCCTGGGGCCGGCTTTTAGTCTTGTAGTTCTGACTAGCTCTGTTGTCTTCTTGTAGCTCTGACTAGCTATGTCGTCTTCAGCAAGTCACTTGTCTGCTCCAAGCCTGAGGTGGCTCTTTAAAATGAGGCTGGCCCTACCAATGTAAGGGGTCAGAGAGACGGTATATGTGAAAGGCGATTTGTAAACTATAAAGGGCTGTTAAATGCTATTTATTATGAAGATACTGTGCTCTGGGGCAGGCCAGCTGCTGGTGTACATGTGAGCGTGCGTCCCAGTTCCACGCCCCATGTGACTCTCCACATCTTCCCCACACCTGTCCACCAAAGTCACTGCAGTTTGGTGAGAGGTTTTCTTTCTTTTTCTTTTCCGCTCTGAGCGGACTTGGAGGCTGCTTTGTGCGGGCCTGCGCATGAGATGCCTTTCAGCTCCCCCCACCCCCAACCTCCAGCTGTTCTCCTTGACCTCCAGGAGCCCCTTCCACCTTCTTGCAGGCAGGGCCAGCTGTTGTCACAGAGGCCACCTGCCTCCTCCCTGGCCTCTGAGTCACTAGTTAGAGGCTAGAGGCCTCCCCAGAGGCCTCCAGGGACCCAGGAGGCTTGCTGGAGGCCCTTGGGGGAGGAGGGGAAACAAGACGGACACTAAAATTAAATGAATTGTCTATAAACGTTTTTTAATTAAAATTGTGATTCATGTTCTATGCAGAAGAGTCTCGTTAAGAACAATTGCACTCCCTGAGTGGCAGAAGAAGAGCGCAGAAGCTCTTCCCAAAGCCAGGGAAGGGAGGTGAGAGCAGAGAAATGGGGTAAGTGGCTCTTCTCCCTTTTAGGGATAAGCAAGCAGCAAGAGAAAGGACGGAAAGCAGCTAAGGGATCTGCTTGATGACTCCCCAGGCTCCTCGGGGAGGGGGCTCAGCTTGTTGGGGACCCTTAAGCTAGGATTTTGTGTTTTCTTTTGTTCCATAAAAGTATGCCACCTTCTCACTCCCTTCTCCCCCTTCTCTGGCCCCAGGCCACCAGCCAGGAAACCGCCACAGAGCCACCCACGCCTTGGCCTTGGGGCCACCCGGGCAGGCAGAGGAATCAGAGGGAGAGAGAGAGAGAGAATGAATATGAGAGAGAAGCAGAGAGACAGACTGACTGCGGAGAAGTAATGGAAGAGAGGAGAGATTAGGGGACAGAGACCCAGAGCACCAGCGGGGAGAGATCCTTAGAGGGGTAGAAGACAGAAAGCAGCTTCTCACGGAAATAAAGTAAGCAGAGGAGAAGGACAAGGAGGGGAGGAGCCCAGAGGTATCTGGCTAAGGGGTTTGTAGCGACTTTGAAAAACAAAAGTGAGTTGTCTGGGGGTGCTGTGGCTGCTCCAAGACGAACACCCGGCTCCCAAAGAAGGCCCAAAACCGCTCAGAGATCCAACCCACGCTGAGCGCAGGAACTCAGCCTCCCACACTTTGCCGCCGCCTCATTTCCAATGCTTCAAACTTGTGGTTCAGGCACAGTACCCTCCTGAGGGTTAGGTGGGGGGCTGACCTGTGCGGATGTCCCAAGGCAACTCTCCCCCCCACCACAACACTCAGGTATGCGGGTGCCCAGAGGAGGGAGCTGGGGCCACTATGCCTGCGGCCCCCGGGGCTGCTGGCTTTAGGGGAGTGTCTAGGAGCACCCCCTCAGCCTTCCTAGCTTCCCCTGCAACATCTACATCGTCACCACTGCATACAGACTGAGGTGGGGAGGGAGGAGAGGTCTGCGAAGGAATTAATATCTAGTCCACTCTCCTGCTCCCTCAAGTTTCTCTTTGAAGGCAGAGAGACTTAACTCTAAATGAGAAGAAAGGAAAATCTTGCCTGTTCCTGGCTCTATGATCGCACCAATCCAAAATACTGCCGCTGGGCAAGGACCTGTGGTTGGAAAACTCTAGTAACTGGGAATGTTAGGAGGTAGGAACTTGAGGGTGTCCCGAAACAAGTTCCTAAATAAACCAAGAAACACAAGGTGGGAGATCCATGGGGGAGGTCCTGCAGGTCCAGCACCACTGGAATAGAGAGCCAGAGAGGGAGACAGACTCAAAGAAGTGAAAAGAACGTTGTAGCCAGATGGCTGTGACTCTTGGGACCAAGGGCCACCCCAAACCTCTTCCCAGGAGCTCAGGGTACCAGAGGCTGGGCCCCGCGGGCTCTGGGGCCACCACCCTATGCACCAGGAGTCCCAAAGCAGAGACTCATCATTGGCTGAGTCTTTCTTCCTTTTCTTCTTCTTCTTCTTCCTTTTTGTTTTTTTGTTTAATCCTTTAAACACAAGACAAAAATGCACCTCATTTATCATCTTAGATATATATATTTCACTCTCACCACATAAATACAAAACATCCAAATATCCAAAACATTCAGAACAGAGTTAGTAGCCAGAATTCAGTGACACCTACCCGCGTTTGAATCGTTCATTATTTTCTTCACTATTTCCTAAAAGAAAAGAAAAAAGGGGGGAAAAAAAGCTTCCGACGTAAATAATTTACAATAAAATTACTATTTTTTAAAAATGCTCTGCGCTCGCTTCGGATGAAGGAATTACATTCTAGACACTGCGGCACCTCGCCGGCTAGGTCTGTGGTTTTGGTTAAAATGCGCGTAGCTGTGGCTGCGGGGACAGTGGTTGTTGCTCAGGTAAGGGATGAGGCTGTGACAGTGTTGCCGTCCGGTTTTCTGACTTGGGACCACGGAAACCCTGGGGTTTTTGAGGGGTGGGATATGGGGAGGGATGTCTTTCCTGTTCACGCAGGGAGCTGATCTGAATACAGAGACCACCGCGCAGGAGGCTGGGCAGCCCTGCTGTCCCGGGCTCGGTCCCTGCCACCGGGTCCTCGAAGAAATCCGGGCGTTTCCAGCGTTCTGGAAGGGTTCGGTGAATCCGGGGGTGGGGAAGAGGAGGCAAAGGGCACTGATTCGTTTCCAAACCCAGCGATTCTGCCCAGAAGCCACGGGTCAAGGAGCTGGTGGGGAGAAGCTTCCGCAGGCAGCCGCCCTGCTCTCTCTCCCTGAGGAGACTGAAGCTGTTGGCCACCGCCCCGAACAGCCTCGGAGAAAAGATTCTGAATTTTCTTTCTTTCGCAGCATTGGCTTTTTTTTTTCTTTCTTTCTCTTTTTCCTTTTAAATTCCTGTTTAAAGTCATAACACCCGGAACTGGAATTTTGCTTGGGCCTGTGGAGCAATCCCTATCCTGAATTCTCTTAAACCTTCCAAACTCGGTTGTTGAGAGTATTTAAAAACTGGTTTCACTTCATCTGGTTTTACGTGGTAGTTATGACTCTTGCTTTATTGCTGATTAGATCAAATGTATTACCACCGTTGCCTACCTCGATGTTTGGTGGATCTCCTGGGGTCGGGGGCGGTAGTGATTGCTGTTTCTCTAAAAGGGGGAAAAATCGGCAGGAGTTGCCCAGCCAGAAAGCTGCGTGTGCACCGGCTCTTCCAAGCAGTCCAAAAAGTGGGGCCCAGGGGCTCCCCGAAGCATTGGTTTCTCTTGCGAAAAGAAGGAGCGTCTTCCTTTTTGGTCTAACGAAACCCACCAGCCTTTTCAGCCCCTGGGGTCTGCGTGTAGCTTTGCTCTTTCAATATTCATAAGAATCATCAAAGGCAGCAGCGGCCCGATCTAGAGCAGGGTTCCCGGGCTTTGACTTAGAACCAGTCTTTGCCCTCCAGGGCCAGGCAACGGTTGGGACGTCAGGTGGCTAATTCGGTTATTTCCCCCAATTCTTTGGATTCTCCTGGATTCAGAAGGAAGTTGGGGCGGGGGGAGCACGGTGGAAAGGTAGAAAAAAGTAGCCCAAAATATGATTGGTGGCAGAGACTAGTGGGGAAGGAGAACTGTCAGAGGCCTCGTGGGGGCCGGAAGCCCAGCACAGGAGCCTCGGGCGCCGAATACGCGAGTCCATAAATATCACCACAATAGATACTATAAATATAAATACAGGCAAACACTTAAAATCAGTCCAGCGCTTTTTTCTCGGCCCCTTCTTTATTGTTGGTCCTGGAGTAAGGCTCGAAGGCCGAGGAGCTCAGGTACCGGGCGGAGAGTTCTTGCAAATTTCCAGCCAGCGAACCGGCCATCGTCAACGGGGCGGAGGAGAGGCGGCTGGCGACCGAGCCGAGCAGCGACGGTACGGGTAGGCTGAAGAGGCCGTGGCCGGCAGCCGGCGCGCCCGCATGCAGTCCGCCTGGCCCAGCGGGCCCGGGGCCCGGAGCGCCGCCCACAGCCGGCGGGTGCGGCGACGCGGCGCCGGTGGGACCCGGGGCGGCGGCCGCGGCGGCGGCGGCCGAACCCGCAGCGGCTCCGGCGCCCAGGGCAGGCAGGCTGGGCCCGCGAAGCGCCGAGCCGAGCGCGCCGGTGGCACAAGGCGGCAGCAGCGCGGGCAGGCCGGGCGGCGACAGCAGGCGGCCCTGCTCCAGCAGCCGCAGCACGCTGCACGTGGCCGCCGTCTCCGACACCACCGAGCGCAGCTCCGAGTCCTTGCCCTGGTCCTTCTTCTGCTTCGTGCGCCGGTTCTGGAACCAGACTTTCACCTGGGCGCAGGGACGCAGGGAGGGTGGGAAAGAGGGGCGGGAGAGAGGGCCGTCAAGGAAGAGCGGGCTCCCAGGGCGCGAGGGCTCGCTTCGGAGCCCTCTCCAAGCCCAGCCGCAGCCCCAGTCCGGCCCCACCCGGCAGCAGGAGAGGGGCTAGCCCGGGAGCTACGTGGGCCACCTCGAGTTGGACACAGCTCCGCAAGGCTGCGATTCCGGCTCATGGAAGCAGGCCCAGGCTGTGGGAGCTCAGAACTAGTAATAAAGATGTCCACGACCCTAACTGGAAGGAAGACCAGAAGGGACTTCACTGGGCTCCCTCACTACCTGCAGCCAGACATGGATCATCCTGGCTTGTGAGCTCACGTTTCCTTCCGGCAGAGGGGTAAGACCTGAAGGCTGCTGTGTAGGAAGCGGGAGTGGGCGGGCTGGGAGTGTTGCTCTACCTTTCTGGACCCAGGCCCATTGCCCAGCCAACAAGCTCGGCAGCAGCCTCTGCGGAATTAGTCCTGTCCAAGGCTTCCAGAAGCTGTTCCTGGCTTATTAGCGTGAGACTTGACCATCAACTGGCAGCAAACAGGAAAGGTGACCGTAGAAGGAGTAATTTGTGCAGGATGGACTAGGGGCAAAGCTTTCTCCATCTTCTCTCTCTGACAGCTGGATTGGAGGTTCTGAGTGATATTCTTAATTTATCACTCCCCTGCTCTCCATCATGAACTTTGGAATCATGGGAAGACGTCAAGAGGCTGGGGTGAACTAAACCCTCTTTACCAGCCTCCCTCCCACTTCCTCCTCTCCTTTTGCCCCCTCTCCAGGCCTCGCTGGTGGCCCAGAATGGAGATTAGCAGCTATATGGAAAGGTCTAGATTTTGTAAAGCAAGAGGGGTGGTAGTAGAGAGAATAGGAAAAAGCTATTGTGCCAACTCAAACTCAAAAAGAACATCCAATAGGATCTGTCTTCGGTTCTCGGCTTTCTGCCCAGTTCCCAGACCTATATGTTCCCTACCTGCTTCAGGGCTGGAGGCAGGGAAGGAGACAAGCCCTTAGAAAGAAGTCTGCCTTACCTAGGCCAAGTTGGTGCCATGCCCTCACTAGGCCCAAAAGGGCCTCCACAAGGCAAATCTGTCAGGCCCTGAAAAGCCTGGGCCCAGAGTCTACTGTGGCTGGCTCCAGTAACAACATGTGGATTTCATGTAAAGGAAAAGACCTAAAGCACAGTTGACCGTGCTGGCTCCCAGGGCCCCCGATCTGCCTCTGATCCCATACTTCACATATCATCAGCACTGAAGACAGGGCCTGATAAGTGCCCAGTGGGTGCCCACGGCCAGAATGGGTCTGGGTCCAGCTCAGGGCCAGGGGAAGCCTTAAGAGGCAGGGTAGCCTGCCCGGAGCAGGTGACTCTCAGGATTGTGCACCTTTCCAATCTAGTTGTTACCCTCAGCACCAGGTGGCTTTGGCTCCAGTCCCATTCTTGCAGAACAGGCCTGGGTGTTGTATTACAAGGCTGGGGTCCCCAACGGAGGTGATGCCTGGAAATCTGGCCAAAATGGGGTGACCAAGACAGGGGCAAACCCTGGCTCCTTGTACAGCAGAGGCAAGCAGGGAACTCTCAAGACTGATCCAAAAAAGAATTCCAAGGGACAGAATTTGGGGCCTCCTGGGCTAGGCCAAGGTGGGCAGAGTACGGACCCTTCCAGATTTGGGGGCATAGAGGGAAAGGAATGGTTTAAGGAAGGGAAGAAGTAGTGGGTCTATCACCCCATCCTCCCTGTCTCCTCCACCTCCCCTGGGAGTCTCATCCAGAGTCAGGCTAAGTACTGGGAAGAGTGGGCTAGAGTTGGTGGGGCGGGGGAGGCTTGTGCTGAGCTGTGCAGGCCTGGCCACCTGGTACCTGGGTCTCGGAGAGGTTAAGCTGCCTGGCGAGCTCGGTTCTCTCTCGGCCCACCACGTACTGGCAGCGCTGAAATTCCATCTCCAGCCGGTAGAGCTGCTCCGCAGTGAAGGACGTGCGCGTCCTCTTGGGCCGGTCCAGGTCCAGGCCCTTGGGCAGGATGATCTCTCGGATGGAACCCTTGGCATCTGAGGAAGGGGAGATGTCAGTAGCCAGAGCCCTCCCGTCTCCCTCCACCTCCCTGGCCAGAGCCTGCTGGAGGGCAGGGTCGCCTGCTGCCTGCAGTCGGGCGGGCGTGGGGATGGGGGGGGCGGAACAGGGAGGGAAGCTTCGGCCATACCCGGGGACCAAAGACACAGCGTGTTTGGTGGAGCGAGGGGGTTTAACGACACCGCGATCGGAAAGGGGGAATCAGACTTGGCCTTTTAGAGCCCTTTGGACATGGGAGGGGGAAAAATAATCCAAATCGGCTGATGTTCCTTCCGGCCTGGGAGTCTCGGCTGCGCGGTCTGCGTCCCATGTAGCCTGAAGGTCTCCCAGCTGACCAGGCTGGGTCGCGTCGGCCCCAGCTCTGGACGCCTTGACCAGACCCCGCTCCCGCGGTCTCAACGCCCCACCCCAGGGTCTCCTTCTCTCCCGAGCCGGGTCGGCGGAAGGAGGAGGGACGTTGTGGGGGCCGGCGGGGCCTGGCGATCTGCTAGCGGGGGCGGCGCCGGGCCGCGGCCGGGCCTCACGACAGCCACCGCCAGAGCCCAGCGCACAACGCGCAGCCCTGCGGGAGCGAGCCGAGCACCAAGGCGACATCCGTGGCTCGGCAACGCAGCCCAGCCTCTTCTGCCGGCGGCGGCTGCCAGCCCCGAGCGCGGCCCCGGGGCCCTCGGCCCAGCGCGCCAAATGGCCTGGCGGTAGCCGGCGATCGGCTGCTGTTCTCCGGTATCCGCACTCCCCTTGGGTGCACTCAGCCGGCCAGGGCGCCGGAGCTCGAAGGCAGGCTGCCGGCAAGTCCTCTAGCTCGCCCAGCGCGCGCTCGTCCTCCATAGTGTCCTGCTCCTTCCCCCAGTCAGAGGCCGCAGCCTGCAGCCTGGGCCGGCCTGCGCGGCCCCTAGGCTTCCCTGCAACCCTGTAGGCGGGGCCCCTCGGGGCTTGGAGGGTCAAGGCTCCTGGAGAGTGCGCGCCCCAGGTGCGAATGCTCAGCGGCCGGCCAGACCCGGGGGCGGGGGTGGGGAATGGCCAGTAACTTTCTCGGAAGTCCCAGCCCGCACCTCCTCCCTGCGGGCCTGGTTCTGGGGCGCCGCGCTGCTAGGGCCCCCGAGTCCTCCCCCACAGAACGCGCCCTGCAGCCCTACCCCATCCCTACCTCGGACCAAGATCCGGCGGCAATAATCCGGGTCGGCGGCCGAATTGGATTTACTTTTGTTACAATCGTCCGCGGCACCCGACGCTGAGAAGGCGCCCTGCGGCTCCTTGAGGAAGGCGGCGGAGAGGTTCCCGTCCGCACCCTTGCTCTCCCGGCTCTCCTTGTGCGCGTTCTTCGAGACTCGGGCAGCCTCTGCGTCCGAGTGGCACCGAACGTCCATTTTGTCTGGTTTCCCGAACATAGGAGGGGAAAAAAAAAAAAAGAAAAGAAAAGAAAAGAAGAGAAAGGGGAAAAAAGAAAGAAAGAAAATAAAAAGAAAAAAAGGGGGGGAAGAAAAAAAAAAAGAGGCACTGCGGGGACAAAACCCTACAATGGAGCTCCTGAGCCCTGCCCAGAGAGAGGAAAGCGGCAAGAATGAATGTCCCCGCGGGGCGGCTGCGGCGACCGCGGGCGGGTCAGCGGCGACCGGCGAGTGGCGCGCTCTCCGAGAGGCGGCGGGTCTGATCCAGGATCCCGATGGAGCAGCGGCGAGGCCGCCTCGTCAGCGTCCGCGTTCTCTGAGCACGTCCAATGTCCCCAGCCTGGCGATCAGGTAGCAAGCAGACCAACTCCGAAATGCTGCGGCTCCCGCCTGTTACTGACACGGCGAGTTGTAGTTGTCCGACACCCGCGGGGACGTACACTCGCTGTTGCAATTGATTACGGGTAATTTCGCAGCCCCCACGTTTCGGTTACCTCATGAATACACTAAATTGTTTGGATAATATATCAGATCGTAATGGATGGTTTCTGTCCTTGTCCCCAATCAAGTAGGGGTTTAGCCAGTGAATAAACGGAAATGATTGGTCTTGCTTTCAGGAAACACACAATCAAAGACCCACACTTCCAGAAAAACTTTTGACAAGATTCATCCTGAATTGTTAGTACCATTAGCAGGCATTATTAACTTTCCCTTTGCCTTTGACCCTCCTGCTCACATACTGGCTAGAGGGGTTTTCTGCACACTCGACAGATAGAGCTGAATGAGGGGGGAGGGGGAGGGAAAAGAAACCAACAAAAAACGCTTACACACCCTGCAGCAGAAGAAAGCAGTTGCCTCTAGGGGGAAAAAGGGGGGGTGGTGGAGTAAAAGTTTTCCCAAAAAGTATCTCCCCCGAGCTCTAAAAGCCAAGCTTTCGTCCCAAACAACTCCTTCTTAACACACCTCGACGCTGACAGCCATCTTAAACGGCCACCTCTCTTCATTTAGTTCCAGTTGGATTTTTTTCCTGCCGGCACCTCCAGCAGCCTGAGGCCGCCCATTCAAAGGGCAGCTTTGTACTCAGAGTCCAGCAGGAGAGAGAGGGGGAGAGGAGAGAGAGCCGAGAAAATCTCAACTGTGAGATCTGCTTCAAAAAAAAAAAAAAAAGAAAGAAAGAAAGAAAAAAGAAAAAAAGTTTTCCCCTAGCTATTTCATTGTCTCTGCTACAATATCTTTGAGAAAAGCAACAGCCAGTAATCCAATAAGAGCATTGATTAGGCTACAATGATTCAATTCAAGCGCATGGCCCTGTGCAAGGAGCATGCTCCAGCCCTTCTCGTCACCTTGCCGGGGCAGAAGCCCTCTCCACGCCGCTCTCCCCATTCATTCCTTTATGGGAAATGCGGAGCAAAAGGAGTGAAAGATGGCAATTATCTAATTGGACTATTAACAAACAGTGCTCTGAGTGCGGCGGTCTGGCGTGGCTCCTGGGCGGGGGAAGGGCCCTGTTCCCTGCCCTCATTCACAAAGAGTGCAGGGGCCGGGGAGGAAAGAGGGTTTTTTAAAGGGAGTGGGATGGGGTGGGGGGAGCGGAGAGGTGGGAGGTTTGGCTGAGAATTTTTCCACACAATTCCCAGAATGGGGGCGGAGGCGGGCGGGGAAGAGGAGGGGGCTGGGGGCGGGTGCCGGCGAGCGGGTGGGAGAGAGGGAGGACGAAGGGGTGCGAGCGTGTGTGGTGGGCTCCGAGGGGCTCCCGCCCGCTGCCAGGCGCGCTCCGCCGGCGCCGCGGTCCCGCCGCCCCGCCAGCACCCCCTCGACCCCAAGGAGTCGGCGAGTGGGAGGGGCCGCCGAGCCGGGGGCTTCGCGCTCTCCCCTCCCCCTGCCGCTCCCCACCCCCTCCGGCCCATCCGAGAGCCCACGCTCCGTCCGGTTCCGGAGGCCGCCTCCGGCCCTGGAGGCAGACCTTGGGCTTTTACTTTATTTGATTGGGGTGTGTGAGTGTGCGTGTGTGTGTGTGTGTGTGTGTGTGTGTGTGTGTGTGAGAGAGAGAGAGAGAGAGAGTGAGTGATTGTCTTGAGCTACTCTCCGCAGGGAGGCGGGTTTCCCGGGTCCCCGGCAGACGGGTGGCCTGTCAGTCCTCTCGGGCTGTCGCCAGCTGGGCCTCCGGGTGGACAGTGCCTTTGATTCCCCGCTCGGCCCAGCCGTTCGGTGGGCCTGGGAGGGAGTGGACAGGGGGAAGTGTCCTCGTGGCCGTCCTGGTCTGAAGATGCAGAGTGGGATGGAAACAAAATACAGCAAACTTGCCAGTTACTTCCCGCCACGCGCAAACGCCCAGGTTGGCGCCCCGAGGGCTCCACTCCTTTTGCGGGCAGAACGGTAGAAAGGCGCCGCCGCCGCCGGGTGCTGGCTCCCATTGCCGTGGAGCCAGTGCAGGTCCCTGGGATTTGGGTCCTCTCGAAGGGGATCCGGGCCGCTGATGGGGCCCTCATTTCCCTGGAGAGCTGGACCAGAGCCAATTCCCGGGGCCTCCTTAGGCGGGGAGATGATGGGGTCCCAAATGACTGGCCCATGGCCCTTCCCTGCCACCTGGCCAGGCGTGGGGCCACGTCCTGCTCTCTGACAGCTGGCCCCTCCCCAACCTCGCCGGGTCCCTTGCGCAGGAGGATTTACCCACTCCTCCCCAGCCCGCCCACCTCAGGAAACCTGCTGCCTTGGAGAGTCCCAGACCCAAGCTTTGGCCCCAATGGGGTCACCTGGGGGTGGCTCCGGGTCCTCCGTCGCACCCAGCTCAGCCGCCGCCTCCTTTCCGCCAAGGCTACCAAGGCCCCCAAACCCACGCTGATACCTGCAGCACCAGTCAAAGGCCCAGAAAAGAGTCTTTTAAAATAAAAATACCCAACCCACCACCTCTTCTTTTAGGTGGAGGATGGGAACCGGCCAGGGAGCGAACTGCAGCCCTTAGAAAAGACTAGCGCTGTGGGCCATGGGAGCCCAGGGATGTCCCCGCTTGTATCCGGGTTAGAGGATACGCCAAACTCCGGCCAAATCCCAAATCCCAAATCCCAAATTTGAAGTTGGGCCTCAGAGACACTTGCCTCTCCCCGCAGGGGAATAACAGTGGCATATTTTAAGTGGGAACTCTTTGTTGAGCACTTAGGGGTATATAAACTAATTTTCTCAAGCCCTCTCTCTGTCAGCAAGGTTAGCAACCTCCCAGTTTTACAGATGAAAAGAAAAAACAAACAAACCCAGAGACTCAGAGAGGTTGGATAACTTGCCCCAGTCACCCAGTGGGCAAGTGCAGAATTAGGATTCAAAGATATTTATACTCTTTTAAGCAAACCTCCAGGGCTTTGCCCTTTTATTCCTGCTTGGAGTTTTCCAGAATCTCTGTGTGATCATGACATGTATTCAAGATGCGGAGCGATGAATAACCTTAACGTTGATGCTGGGATCTTGATTGTTCGGCACAGGTTTTCATGGATTTTATCGAAACAACATGAAATACAAGTGGAAACATGGACGTCTTGTTTGTGATAATATTTCTTTCTAGACAAGAGCATTTCTCATGAGTCTTTCACCCTCCTACCTCCAGCTGCCTTGGAGTGAATAAAATAGTTTTCCTGAATCCAAACCTACTGACTGAATGCCCTAGAGCCATGCTGGGGAGTGCGCCTTTCTAGCTGCCTCCTGGGAGATTTTCCCGCAAGTTAAACCGGGAGAGCTGTAGCTTTTATTTATTTATTTTTATTACGTTAGTTGCCATACGGTACTTCATTAGTTTTTGATATAGTGTTCCATGATTCATTATTTGCGTGTAACACCCAGTGTTCATTGCAATTCGTGCCCTCTTTAATACCCATCACTGGGCTAACCCATCCCCCCCCCCCCTCCCCTCTGAAACCCTCAGTTTGTTCCCCCCCCTCCGTAATCTCGCATGATTCATATCCCCCTCTGACTCCCCCCTCTTCATTTTTCTCTGTACCTTCTTTTTTTTTTTTTAAGATTTTACTTATTTATTTGACAGACAGAGATCACAAGTAGGCAGAGAGGCAGGCAGATAAAGAAAGGGGAGCAGGCTCCCTGCTGAGCAGAAAGCCTGATGCGGGCCTGGATCCCAGGAGCCTGAGATCATGACCTGAGCCGAAGGCAGAGGCTGAACCCACTGAGCCACCCAGGCATCCCTTCTTTGTGCTTTCTGAAGTTGAGTAAATTTGGGGGACTCTGCTAAATTTCATGAGAGCGAGGACCTCTTTCCACCCCCTGTGTGGAAATGCAAATGTTAATTGGAGAAGGGAAGAAATGGGTATATTATGTTATTATGTTAAGACACCCAGTTTCATTAAACAGTCTATTTGCCCAGAGTCTAGGGGTGTCAGGACCTGGGCCTGGATCCAGGATGGGAGCTAATACACATAGTCCTCTTCATCCGCAGCCTTATCTGCAAACCCTTTAACTAAGAGAGCTCATGGGCCCTAACTGCGCATGGCTTGGGGTTGGCACCCCAAGGAGGGCTGTTCACGGATGATGCCTCTCTCCGTCACTCTCCCTTCTGAGCCCTTGAAGTAACCGAATTCAATAAAGGAACATTCAACCCATAACCTGGTTTTGCTTTTTGTTATGCATAGCACTTTCCCTCTGTGTGTGTGTGTGTGTGTGTGTGTGTGACTGGATTAAAATTCTGTGGGCATCCATCCAGAAAAACCATGACAGGTTTCTGAGAGGACACAGTGGAGGACGGAAGCCCTGGGATGAAAATTTCAGAGAAGCAGCTGCTGCTCCCAGAAACTAAAGCTGTGTGTCTCTGGCAAAGAAAGGAGAGAACTCAATCAATTATTTGGATAATCTGAGATAAGCTGGTACCACAGAATACATGAGGACACAAGACTGCTCCAGGTAAAAGTGGTTTATTCTCATGAGGAAATTTGCCTCCCTCCCTAGTGCCCTTCCTACCCCCACATCACTGTCTGCAGGTGCAGACAGACCCAGAATAGAACTGG